AAACAGGAACTCTACTGACTAGCAAACTAATTGAAATCAGAAAAAGGGATTCTACTGTCGAGCAAACTAATTAAAATCAGAAAAAAAGACTCTACTGACGAGCAAACTAATTCAAATAAGATAACAGAGACTCTACTGACTAGCAAACTTATTCAAGTCAGATAAAAAAGGAATCTACTGACGAGCAAACTAATTGAAATCAAGAAAAAGGACTCTACTGACGAGCAAACTAATTCAAATCAGATAAACGGGACTCTACTGACTAGCAAACTAATTCAAATCAGATAAAAAGGGACTCTACTGACAAGAAATCTAATTGAAATCAGGAAAAGAGGACTCTACTGACGAGCAAACTATTGAAATCAGAAAAAAAGGGAGTCTACTGACGAGCAAACTAAATGAAGCAAGTTGAAAATTTGAACTGGTCTTAAAACAATTTAAACTATGAGATAAAAAGGGCTCTACTAATGAGCAAAAATAATGCAAACTTAGAACAAGAAAACTAAGTTTCTTCACAGGACAGAACTTAACATTTTGTTGTCCATTTACAATTGTGATTTATTAACTTCCCAGGGTAAGTTTTTGTAATCGTCAAAAATCAAAATTGAAAATTTTTGCATATCTTTATGTTTCACAAAAAATGGATGTGTGTGTATGTAGTACGGATACAATTTTTTGTCGACGTTTTTGGCTCAAACGATTTGGATGAGTCAAAATTCGATTCCTTATGGGGATTAGTGCTGATCAGTTTTTAGCCAAGGCAGGGCCAGCCGTTTCGGAGATACGAAGCAATGCATGTATGCATGCATATTGCAAGTCCGATTTTCTGGCAAAAACTTAAATTTTTTCTCGAAAGTCAGTAACAAATACAAACTGTTTCCATTTCTAATTGCATTTTCCTTCTGGTGCATTTCTGGCCTCGTCATTATATCGATATCAAAACGATACTTGTATCGATATTTTCCGATATCGTATCAATAGAATTATTATCGATAGTAGAGCATCTGCTCTTGAAAGCAATATAAAAGCGTAAATTGCAAAAGATATTCAATACGCGAGCCATGCCAGGACTTTTTTTTCTAAAACAGAATGGATTTTATTTGCTTTTTTTATATTAAATATATATTTGATGCGAAACTGTAATTATATTTCGCCTTTGAGAAAAATTGCTTCAATTTCAAAGCAAAGAGAAAAGATTATTGGGACATGATTACTCTTCAATAAAAATTTAAATTGATTTTTACACGTATCAGGAAGTTCATGCAATTTAATGTTGCACCATAGTATAAGTAAAATCTATGTTACAATAATTCTTCAAATAAAATTTTAACCAATGTAGAGTTTGTTTCTAATATGTACATACGATTTCGAATATCCAGAATCATATTTGCATGTCAAAGTTTATTCCAGTGTCAATAGAGAAACCCTAAAGGGATAGATTCTATCACATGGCCGAACTAATCCTCGAGTCAACAAAATCCTTAGAGGTCGAGACGATTCATATCTACATACAAGACGATATAACATCTTGATAAAAATAGATGTAGCAAAATATATGTATATATAAATCAAGACACAAACTGAATTTTGCCTTTTGGGCAAGTTACAGAAACTCAACAGTAATGAGAGGTCAAATGTAACAAAAAAGTTGGACATACCTGCTTTACACTAAGATTTTTTTTAAATATACAGAAGCAATTTGTATTGTTATATCGTAAAAGACAATCATCATATACTAGTATATTTCACTACTAATTTTTCTGTACATTTTAATATTACGATTTCAAAACGTTTACAAGTTTATTTCGCCTATTGCCAGAAAGTGAAAACTTTTTGCATAAGAATTCAAGACACGTTCCAAGAATAAAAACAACTTCGATAATTTATTTTTCGTGTCTCGGGGCATTTCCATGCTTTTATTGAGAGCATCTGATACCTGTAGCCTATATTTATATATAAGGGTCTTATATAGCCTTGAGAAATAGAAAAAGTTCTCATATACCCATATTTCCATACATTGATTTATATTTACAAATATTTTGAAAATAATTATTTGAAAACATATAAATTGTTATATATCATTGTAAAGCTTATTCAATCTACTAAAACCTTACATACTAAATTTTTGAACTTTTGGAACAAAATTTTACACAAAACTTACTTTAAACATGGAACTCCGAAAACACCATATTGCTTATAAAACGACTATTACAAATCTGGTGCATTTTTTTAGTTTTAGTATAAATTTATTTATAACTTATTCTAATATATATTAAGTATTATTTAGTATTCTAAATCTTATTAAATTTATTAAAACCTTGCATACGCCAATTCAACACTTCTTTAACAAAATGTTACCTAAAAATACATTTAAATTGGAGTTTTCAAAGCAACATATTGCAAACAACTGCTACAAATCTAGTGCCTTTTTTTAGTTTTAGTAATAATTTGTATATAACTTGTTCTAATTTATATTAAGTATTATATAGTGTTCAAAAGCCTATTAAATTTACTAAAACTATACATACTCAATTTTTAAACTTTTGGAACAAAATTTAACACAAAAAATATTTTAAACTTGGGTTATTCAAAACATCATATTTAATTATTTATTTATTGTGAATAAATTGTATATTTAAAATTTTATAATAAATGTAAGATTTGATGTAAATCGAGTACATCAAATGTTACGATTATATATTCATATTATCCATGTACATGAACATGTACATATATTTTATATTCAGAAGCACTCCAAGACCCTTAAGAATCCAAAGTTTGTTAATTAGAGATAAATTGCAAATATTCTGCAAACAACAGGAAAACTTTTCAGAAACTTCTCGTTTTGTTCTACAAGTAAAGTCAGGAGCAATAATTTAACTTTTTGTGGTTGAAACTTTTATAACAATAAAGGATTTGTAAAAATCTATAAGCCGACCTAAATTGTAAAAATTTTATTCATATGATTTTTTTTGGCATGTGCTAGAGAATATTATTTTTGAGAATGATTATGAGAAGAAATAAATTTTTATCGAATGTTTGTGACTTTAAATAATGTTTAATATTGTTATTTTTCTGAAAGAAAAGTTTAAGTTTTCATCAGAGCAGTTTGGATTTTTTTAGTGCAATAAGTTGAAACATTAGTTTGCTGAAAAAGTTTTAAAAAATGTCATTTAGCGGTCAAATATCGATCAATCGACATGAATGGGCATCAAAAACTTCCAAAAAGTTTCGAAATTTTTGATAAAAAAATTTAAAAAATCCAAAAAATTTAGTTTTCAAAAAGTTTCAAAATTTTCATAAATTATTTTAAGTTTCTAAAATATATCATTATTATTATTTTCAAAAAAGACATTTTTCTTCAATCTTTTCGATATTCAAGATTTTTAAATATTTTCAAGAATGTTCAAAAAAATTCAAAATTTTCAAAAACAATGTAATTTTTCCTTTTAGAGCTTTTAAAAATTTTAAATTAGACATATGCACATCAAATAAACAAGTATTTAATAATGATTTTACTAACAATAAGTAAGCACTGGGCAATAATTTTGGGAAAAAAATCAAATGTTTTCAAAATTTACAAAAAAAAACAATAAAAAAAAACAAAATTTTTGATAAATTTCAAATTCTCAAAAAAATTGTAAAGCTTTTAAAAATTCTAGAAGAATTTACTAACGAGTAGATACAAATTTTATAATGTTACCAAGATTTATAATGTTTAAGCGTTAAACTGCGGCACGGCGCTTACGCGATTTGGTATTTCTAAGACAGATACACAGCATTATCGTTTTGGAAAAAATCAAATATAATCAAAATCAGAAATTTTTAATAAATTTGAAACTTTTCAAAAAATTATTTTTTTTTAGAATTTACAAAATTTTTTAAAGCTTTTACAAATTCTAGAAGCTTTTTTTAAGTTAAACAGTGATTGAGTTAGAAAAACAAAATATAGTAAACTAACTTACGATTGATCTCAACATTGATCAATTTAATGTGAAAATTTTAACAAAATGGGAAATTATAAAAAATAATTATATATAATTAACATTTTTTTACCTGTAATGACAATTGAAATATATTGACTGAATTTCTTGTTGTGCAAACTCACTTAAATTATAAAGATAAATTATGAAAAATTGGAATAGAATTTTCTGCACACACTAATCACATAAATAATAAATAAATGTAATATTTAAATAAATATGATAATAAATTATTAAAATGTCAATACTCACGATTTGTGAAATAAAACACAAAATGGCTTCTAGCGGTTGCAAGTATATTTGTATAAATTTTTCATATTTTAAAACACCGATTATACTTAAACACTGTATAATCTGTTAAAGTCTTCACAAATGTCTAGTTATTTCACAAATCAGTATAATAATAATAGTTTAAATATAAATAAATACGTATTTAAACAATTTAAAAAACTCTAATAACATCTACATTGACAGTTTAAAAATGCTTTGACAGTTCTTAGTCCTTTTGTACAACATGTATGAAGTTGGCGACATTACAAAAATTCAAAAACTGACTTACGCAAAGTTTTTTTTAAAATAATTACACAAGGTTTTTTTTGGAAAACTTCAGCTTATATTCAAAATAAATCAATTATAACTTGTATTTTAAAAAAAGTGAATAATTTAAATCTATATTTTAAATTTTTATCCTTTACCGTGCTGTCATCTTTCACAACATGTATGAAGTTGGTTACTTCAAAATACATAATTCAAAAACTGATAATTAAAATACAAGCGTATTTATAAAAAAAATATCATCGTATACATTCTACATCCAAAATCAATCAATTATAACTGTATTTTCATAAAACTAAGCATTCTTAAATCTAAATTTTATATTTTTATTCAACCACTTTTATCCTCTGACGTGCTGCCATCTGTCAGCATCCTTTTGCATTAATTTTGACAGCTACCCTGCATCTTGCAAAAGGACATTCAGACATAAAATTTGAGAATTAAAATGCATTTGTTGATAAATTAATTTAAAATGGTGTAATATATTGATAGTTATTATGTGATCAACAAAGGAAATACATTCGGAATGGGAGCGACATTTAATTGGGTGTTTTTAATAGCTGTAGTTTTAGAACTAACCACACTTACATGGGGTAAATATTATGCAATATAATTATTAGTAATAATATCTTAACTAGGAGTAAGTTAAGTTAGGTTTCAATGATTTAAGAATTAGGAATTGTATATGTCATGTTTATTAATGTCTAATTTGTAGTTTATTAATTGTGTTATCTCGGAGTATGACAGGATTTCTTCGGGGACTTTGCAATAACTTATTTACATTATTATCTATATATTGCTTAATGTACATTATGTATAATAACAGAAGGAGTGCTCTAAAGTCATTCGAAGGTCTATTTGTATATCATAGATACTCTATAAAGATTTAAAGACATACGTGTAGATGTAAAATAAAGTAATTTTTATCCTTATATATACATACATATATATATATATATATATATATATGTATGTATATATATATATATATATATATATATATATATATATCTATATATATATATATATATATATATATATATATATATACTCGTATATATATATACTCGTATATATATATTATATACCCATACACTATGCTAAATATTTTTTTATCCTCTAGGTCAATCTTTAACAAGTCGAGAGCACAGAACTCAAGCGGCTGTGGAACGAGTAAACGATCTGTGGTGCTACCAGTGCGATTCCATGGAAGATGGCGATAAATGTGTAGACGTATCTGCAAACCACAGCAGCACGATAAAAAAATGTAAGGACGACAGAAGAGTTTGCATGGTAAGAATTTATACCACAACTATTCAATAAATTAAATCCATACCTAGAATTATTTTCTATTACCATTATTCAAGGTCAAAAGAGTATCCTATACCACAAGCACAGCCAATTCGACATCGGCTCCCAAACTTTGGGCGTTAGAAAGAAATTGTACCAAAATTTGTGAACCCGGTTGCATCGTTATTGGAGAACGGACAAAATTGTACGCTTGCACTTCTTGTTGTGAGAAATCGCTTTGCAATGTGGGCATTGCAGCAGCTTCCAAATATAACTTTAATGAAGTTAGAAAAATTTTAAGTTTGTTAGTAAGTTTTTATATATTAAAAACTATAAAGTTATGATATTGGTAAAGGATTAAGGTTGCAAATTTAGGTCATCGGTGTAATGGAATTGACACGTTCGAGGGCGTGGATGCTATAGCATTCAAGTTTAAAAGTTAATTATATTAATTTTATTACACTTGTCTAGGTTATGACAAACTGATTTTTTAAGTATTTTCATTCTATCTCATTTTTTTCCATAATCACTGATTTTCTTGAGAAACGTAATATTTGACGTGGATGCTATAGCATTCATCGCAGATTAAAATAAGATAATAGTACTTTCTTATTATCTTATCTTTTTTCACTAATTACCTTAGGCAAAGCAAATTGCAAAAAATTAAAGGGTAATACTTGACGTGAATGCTATAGCATTCATCTAGAATGAATATTCCAGAAATATGATAGTATTTTGCTATTAGCTCAACAAGTATAAAACGATTGAAACATGATAATCTAACTATTAAAACCGTTATTGGGCGCCCACGTGTTAACGTGCAAGATCACTTTCAGTTGAAACTACATCTTTTTCCATAGTTACTAATTTGACGTGGATGCTATAGCATTCATTTAAGCATAAGACGTTTGAAACACGATGATGTGACTACTGAAACTTTTATTGGGCGCAAACGTGGTAACGTGCAACATTATTTTTCAGTTGAAACTGCATCTTTTTCCATGAGCACTAATTTGACGTGAATGCTGTAGCATTCATCTAGTTATAGCGTTCTTAAAATATAAATTTCAAAACATAATAATCTGTCTACTTTTATTTAAGCAAATTTCGGACATCACAACGAATTTAAAAATAAAATCAATATTTGTCAGTTTTTGTACCTTACTGGGCGCGAAACATGCAAGTATATAATTAATTATAAGTGAAGCTGCTCTCTTTTTTTCGAGTTTCAGTTTTTGATGCCATCGGTTTTATACAAAGCAAAGAATTTAATTTTTAATTTACATTATCTATGGTTTTGCATTTGCAATTTGATTTAGTATAATTTTTTTTTACAATATTCGTGAATAACAAAACATTTGATGGCATTTTTAATGAAAATATGTCTGAATCTCAAAAACATTTTACGGAGTCACCCATCATTAATTATAATTAAAAGACAAATTATACTTGTTAATCTATTTTATTATTTTTATTTTATTATGTTTATTTTTATTATATGTTTATGTTATTTTAGGTTTGCTTCATTAATCAGAGTATCAGAGGTAAGTTATATTTATTTTATATTTTTATTTATTTTATGTTTTTATCTCATTTAAAATACAACAGCGTGTTTGATTTATTGTTCCATTTTTTTCCAAGCAATTTCTTTACAAAATATACAATACATATTGCATTTACAAAAAACTTCTTTAATCTTATTTGTATGTAAAGACCACGAAATTGGGAACATATAAAAATTTTAGCTAAGACTTAGAAGCGCTAATTTTTTTGTGGAGGTGCTTCCAATAAATGTCCTCCGTTTTTTCTAAATTTGCCAAAAAATTACAAATTTCTAGTCATAAGTTTAAGGTAAGCATTTCTCTCTAGTCCTTGATTAAGTTTTAATTATAAAAACTATTTCCAGTATATATAGTTGTATTAATCTTCCAAAGTGTGAAATGATTTCATTATGTGAATTTGTGCAAATTTTTCTTCCATTTGTATATAGGAATAAAATTATTTGTTGGGAATATTTGTGGTTTTATTTATTTGTGTGAATAGTGACAAATTATTTGAATAACTGGGTGTAAGTGGCATTTTGTTTATAGAAACAATTTCAATTTGTCAAAATACACAAGTTAATTTTTATTCGCTTTATGAATTCGTAGTATCATTGCCCTGTTTTTTTTGTTGTTATTAATCATAAATATAAGAATGACTTCTTACTTCATAAAAAAATCTTTTAATTTGAAACTGGTTAAATTTTTTTTTCAAATTAATTCAGTACGTTTTAAGATCGATTTTAAATTGAAACTGTTCATTTTATAATCATTTATAATTTCAATTGACCGACTGACATATAATAACACTTGTTGCGCAACCGATTTTTATTTGCAATGTGCAATTGAGGGAATAAAAATTACACAAAGGCGTCCATATAATAAATGAATAATAAATATTTTGACAAATAATTTATCCAAGTAGTACAATTGTATTGAGGTAATTTAATAAATTATCCGCATGGATAAATTTCAGAGAAATTTACGTTGCACTTTTATGGTTACTTGTAATTTTTCTACTTTTTTTCATTACGTAGACTTTGATTTTTTCATTTCTATCTCTTTAACTTTTTTGATTTTTAGAATCTAAGTAGCTATTCAAATTTCGTTTTGCTTTTCCCTGTTTTCATATCAACTATTCTAGAGTTAAATAACTAATATAATTTACAAATTTAATTTGCATTTATTTAAAGCTTTACGTAATCGCTTTGCCTACTTTCGGTTAAAATTAAGTATCATGTATCAATTTATAAAAAATATATGTAGCTGTAGTTTCAAAAAAACCTACTAATAAATAATAATTTAATTGAATAATTAAATAATTAAAAATAATTTGATTACCAAAAAAATTGATTATTTCTTCATACTGTCGACATTAGCAAAATATTTTTTGAACTAAAAGATTCATTCCTCTTATACCTTTTTTGCATTTTGCTCCATATTTTCGAAACGGTTGGAACTGTCTTTGCAAAATACTAATCAGCACGTCTTTCTGTCAATACAAACCGAATATTTTTTGAATCATTCTAATCGGACGCTTCGTTCTCTGAAAAAACTGAGTAACCATTTTTCATACCTTTTGCTCTATATCTCCTAAACGGCTGGACTTGCTGTGTTTCTTTGCTTTTGTTTTCGAAAATATTAATAAATGATTTTGATGATAAATATATTTTAGAGACCTTACAGGTTGTTAAAGTAATTTGAAAATTTTTTTTTAGGTATTTATATTCCTCAATTATTATTGTTTTAGGTTATCACAAAGTTATTTAACATAAGTAACTTAAAATTAAAAAAAATGGTTCATCTTAATACAATATTACTATTTTTAACAAACCAATTATATTTCTGAAAAAATATAGGAAAAATCGATTTTAATAAAATAAAATAGTAGTTTTCTTTAATTTATAGATATAAATCCTGTTACAATACCAATGAATTTTATTAAAAATATAGTTTTTTTTATAAATATTTATAATTCATATGATTTATCCTACGCCCATGTGTAGTATATGATCTTAATAATTGATATTTGAAATTCATTTCAATGTTAATATTATGAATGATGGACTTTTGTCTCTTCTTGTCAATGAACGCATATCGTTCGAGGCAATTTAAAATATCTTAAGTCTTAATTAGTGCCATTAAATTGTATCAGAACAATTGTGTCAGTCATTCGATGTTGTGAAAAAATATTTTAAGACTCAAATTATTAAAATGAACTAAATTAATAAAAGCGATAGTGAAGTGAAGCAAACCAATTTATAAAAAATGTTATAGAGTGCAGAATTATGCATTTAAAACTGTTATTAGTATTGACTGTTATTTATATCATAAATTTGTCTAAAACCAACGCAAGTTTTAATAAAATTCAAGTGACTCCAAACATTTACCAAAACCAAGAACAACTTTACCTGATTTTGGATAAGCAAGAATTTACAATAACAAAAAATCACAAAATTTTGGCACCTATTAAAAATTGCGAGTTCTATTTGGGAAATCATGAAGAAACAAATAAAGTTATTTCTTTATCCAAGTGCCAAGAAAAATTTTATGGTGTCCTTGAATTACAAAAAGTGTTTTACGATTTGAAGCCAGAAGGAGAAATAAATCATGTTTTGGAAGAAAATCGGAAATTTACTGATCAAAATTTGTTTGGTGAAGGACCAAGTTATGCCAAGAATTTAACTGGTGATATTTTGGATGTGGAAGTGGATCAAAAGTATTCTTCATATAGAGGTAAGTACTTGGTAAATCAAAACCTCAAACTTTATTGCAAGTTTCTCATTTAGGAAAATATTTATTTTGACACCAATGGTGCCTACATATTGTCCAAATCCATCAAAACCAGTTCCCAAAAAAGTCACGTCCAGAATTTTCATAACAAATAATTTTTGTTTTTTCCCAGATTTGCCAAAACTTGACATCCCAATGCGTGACCAATACATCAACCAAAATTCTGACGAACTTTGGCTAGAAATATCCTTGGTTGCTGATCAATCCTTAATAGACTTTCATGGAGATGACCATGTGGAAGAATATACCATGGCTTTGATGAACGTCGTAAGTAGATTGATTGAAAAACTAGTGGTGTATGGCATCGTGCCCTAAGGCAAATTGCTAGAACTTCCCGTATCGTAATGAAATATTCGAGAAATTTTAAACGTTTTCAAATATATTATTACAAATACTGTAACATTCATTATGTTTGCTATCTTGTTATATATGAGCAAATCAAATGTAAATCATAAATCAATTTATCTCCAGAACATTAACAATCGTCATTTCATTTCGAATTCAATTTCAAAAAAAAGTAGTTGCCTATATTGCACAAAATTGAAAAAGTGCTCCCGTATAGTCACAGTCTAAACGCATTTGCAAATAATTCTGTGCGACGTTTTCACTTATACTGCGCTTAGCTTGGCGACATTTTCACATTTTTCAATAGTTTTCACAAAATTGGAAAAGTGGTCCAGAACTTAAACAGTCTAAACGCACTTGGGTAAACATTTGTACCAGAGTGGCGCTTAGACTGTGCTTAGCCTGGGTGATTTTTTTAATTTTTAAACCAAAATTACGAAAATATTTGGAAATGGAAATGAAAATAAAAAAAGATGTAATAATTAACTTCCCGTGGGGTAAGTTATTCTAATCGTCCAAAAATCAAAATCGAAAATTTTTGCATTTCTCGACGTTTTGCAAGTTTCTGAACATTTTGGCATACTTCAGAAAAAATGGATGTGTGTGTATGTATGTATGGATACAATTTTTCGTCCACGTTTTTGGGCGCACGGATTAACCGATTTGAATGGTTCAAAAAACATTAGATTCCTATCGATAGGGAGATGTGATGATTAGTTTTTGGCAAAGGCAGGTCCAGCAGTTACGGAGATAAAAAGTGCAAAAAATAGAAATCGAGTTTTTGAGAGAACGAAGCATCCGATTTGAATGATCTAAAAAACATTCAATTTGTAATTATTGGAAGAAGAGGTGATTAGTTTGTGGCAAAGACAGGTCCCGCCATTTTGAAGATACAGAGCTAATTGTTAAAAAAATGGCAGTTTTTTAGTGAACTAAGCGTCCGATATGAATGATCTAAAAAACTTTCTGCTTGTATTGACAAAACAATTGCTTTAGAGGATAAAAAATTATTACATTTTTTTCTTATTTTCCATAAAATATTTTTGTAATTTTGGGTTGAAAATTAAAAAAATTACCCAGACTAAGCACAGTCTAAGCGCCACTCTGGTACAAATGTTTACCCAAGTGCCTCTAGACTGTTTGTGTACTGGACCACTATTCCAATTTTGTGAAAACTATTGAAGAAAGTGAAAATGCCGCCAAGCTAAGCACAGTATAAGTGAAAATGTCGCACAGAATTATTTGCAAATGCGTTTAGACTGTGACTATACGGGAGCACTTTTTCAATTTTGTGCGAATTAGGCAACTATTTTTTTTTTTAAATTGAATTCGAGATGATGTGACGATTGTTAATGTTCTGGAGACAAATTGATTTATGATTTACATTTGATTTGCTCAGATATAACAAGATAGCAAAAATGATGAAAGTTACAGTATTTGTATTAATATAGTTGAAAACGTTTAAAATTCCTCGAATATTTCATTACGCTACGGAAAGTTCCAGCAATTTGCCTTAAGGCACGATGCCATACACCACTAGTTAATATTATTTTTCCTAAGGTGAGTTCTATCTTCAAACACCCATCCTTGTCATCTGATTTGGGACTTGCCATAACCAAATTTACCTTATACACCGACGATAGGGAAACTCTAGTACATGTTGGTCAAGCCAAAAGATCCTTAGATGCTGTAAATAGATGGAATTTTGCTGTTTACCAGTCTGTACCATGGGGTAATAATAGTACCATAACTACAAACTGCATTTTGAATTTGATAAGTATGTTTTTTCCTCAAGGTTATGGTCAAGATATTGGTCTCTGGTTAACCAGAACTGCCATAGGAGGTCCTGCAGGATATGCTCCTGTTTCAGGCGTTTGCGATCCTAGAAGAAGTTGTGCTTTGAATCGGGATGAAGGATTTAGCAGTGCTTTTATAATTGCTCATGAAATTGCACATTTGTAAGTGGAAACTTTTAGACAAATTATTTAGGACAAATTTAGTATATTAGCTTGTCAAATATCTCCCTTCCGCTTTTTTGCTCTTGGTTTATAATACAAAAAGGCGGAAGGGAGATATTTGACAACCTTATACAATCTATTTTTTTAACTTCCCGAAGGAGAAGTTTATGTTTTCATCAAAAAATCCGATTCGCTAATTTTATGTTTTTTCGACGTTTCAAGCCATTTTGAATCGAATGAGACCAACATTTGGAAAAAGTATGTGTGCGTGTGCGTGTGCATCAACAGATTTTTTGCCGTAAATCGCCGTTTTCTCGAAAACGGCTGGACCGATTTCAAAAATTTAAAAGCCATTCGATGTATCTCGATGAGGACTATTGTTTGACAGTTTTGTGCGACGATCGGCCAAGCCATTTTTTCGTAAATAGCAAAAAAGTGAAAAGTTTTTTGTCCACGTTTTAGCCCGCAATTCTGAATCAATTTTGAAAATTCAAAAATCGTTCGAAAGATATTTGTTGGGAATCGTGCTGATTAGTTTTTGGTAGAGATCGGTCGGGCCGTTGAAAAAAATTTTTTCGTCGATTTTTATTATTATTTTTTTGACGGCAGATACCATAGTCTTCTAGATCATACTAAAATATTACGGCCCTACGACAACCCATTTAGCTTCAAAATGTCGTTAAAGTTTGCAAAAATTAGTATGGTCTTTTTGGAATTTGTCAAAATTAGAACTTTTATCGACATTTTCTCAAAAACGCCTGAACCGATTTCAGAAATTTAAAAACTATTTGATGTATCTCGATGAGGATTATCGTTTCTCAGTTTTGTGCGACGATCGGCCAAGCCGTTTCTTTGTAATTTGGAAAAAGTGGTTTCGTTCACATTTATGCTCATACTACCGAATCGATTTTAAAAATCAAAAACTGTTCAAAAGATATTAGTTGGGAATGGTACTGATTAGTTTTAGGTGAAAATCTACCGTTTTTTTGTAATTAACTGTTGAAAAAAAAATTTAAGCCGATTTTTATGGATTTTTTTTAGCTATATATATATATATATATATATATATATATATATATATATCATGGTCTTATGTAACTTACTGTAATATTAGGTTGTCAAATATCTCCCTTCCGCTTTTTTGCTCTTGGTTTATAATACAAAAAGGCGAAAGGGAGATATTTGACAACCTAATATTACGGCCTTCAAGTAGTTTAATTTTAAAAATTCATCAAAGTTTGAGAAAATGAGTAGTTCTTTTGACATTTGTTAAAATTAAAATTAGACGATTCACTTGGTATAACAAAGTACTTGGTCTTAATGAACATCTAAACAATTAAAGTCCTACAAAAAACTGGCACAAGTATTACAATCATTAATTTTTGAAAATTTGCTTTTAAAAATTACTCCGACCGGGTTGACGTGTTCGATTTTCAATAATGCATAATAAATCCACTTCGAATACTTTTAACTGCTCATAAATTAATTTACCTATCATGAATTAAGTCGATTATTCACTCAAATCGGGAAGTTCATGTTACTTGGCTCAAGGCAAAATACCAACACCAAATAGTATTCCAAATCGTGCAAGTTGTAAATTTAGATACATTTACTATACTTTGTTTCTAGATTGGGTTTAACTCATGATGGTGATGTCTATTCCGGTAATTCCTGCAACGATGAAGCCCAAAAAGGTAGTGTCATGGCACCAACTGTCCAGTCAACTTTTACCAGGTTTTTGTGGTCAAGGTGCAGCAGAGAGGAATTTTATTGGAAAACTAGGTAAAGGAAAAATTTTTATGAAGTTGAACTGTGTTTTAAAAAATATATTTTTGCAGGTTTTGGCCCTGTTTAAGCAATCGTCCTCTGATGAAATTTACAGAAGTTGCACCGGTCTTCCCAAAAACTTACTCGATGAATGATCAGTGCAGAATTGAATTTGGTGATGGGTATGTAATTATTTTTGTAGTCACTTGATAAACATAAAATTTTCTTGCCAATTGTCATGGCAAAGCTGTTTTATTCTTGTTTTTTGTTTGAGAAACTGTGAAATTGTCTTATGATAACTGCACCATCTAGAATTCTGCTAACATTATCTGTCTATCTACATACAAAAAGCAAGGAATAATGTTAAAAGAATTCTAGATGATGCAGTTATCTAAACATTCTTCCTTGCTTGTTTATATGTAAAATACTCCTGATCGCTCGACAAATAGACATTTTCACAGTTTCACTAACAAGGAACAATCATAAGATAGCGCTATTTTATGAGGCAGAATTGCTCCTTTGTGGAAGTATTCAGAAGATAGTTTTCCTAAAGTGACTCAAATTTTTAGGAGACATCAGAAGTAGGTGTCTAAGACAACCATTGGAGTGCATTCCATAAATAACTAAAGAATATTTAATTGAAATTCAGTACTTTACTATTTTATGATGATTTATTAGACATTGATTATATGAGGTTATATTTATACATTCTTTTCTTTCTTTATGGCACACTGAAATCTAACTTGGAGTAAATTTGCTCCAACCATGTTGGACCTTGGTTTTGCATATTTTTTACTACATCATATAATTATTTCCTAATTCTTTTTCTTATAGGCATACTGTTTGCAAAACAATAGGCGTTACTGAAATCTGCAAATATTTATGGTGTGTCCATCATTCTAATACTGATCTCTGCAAGACCAAAAAGAATCCTCCTTTGGATGGAACTCAATGTGGATACGGACTGGTAATTATCACCAAAAAATGATTTATTGATTACAAAAAAAAATGATATATTGATCACAAAAAATAAATTTTGTTAGTCATCCTCAATCTTAAACAATTCATTTGCCAAAACTGCATGAGTTGCCCAATTGTCTAGTTTTGGGTGATGGTCAGACCAACAATTTTGTTGATCAGTTCTTGGTAAAGACCTCTTTAGTTTTTCTTTCAGTTTTATGATTTGGTAATTATCACCAAAAAAATAATTTATTGTTTCTCTTGAATTTTATGTTTGACATTCTAAATCTTCAACAAATCCTTTGCCAAAACTGCATGAGTTGTCCAGGTGTCTAATTTTAGGTGTGATGGTCAATCCAACAATTTATTGATCAGTTTTTGGTGAAGACTTGTGCATTTTTTTTGTTTTTTTCCTCAGTGTTATTTGTTGGATTATTAATTTTTTTGCTAATGAATTAATTAATTTATGTTATGTTTCTGTTTTTTTTCAGGGTTGTTACAAAGGCATCTGCACAACTTCACCAGAAGCTGCAGAAAACCAAAAGGCAAATCCAGTTGATGGTTTATGGGGCGATTGGAGCGACTGGAGCGAATGTTCTACAACCTGTGGTTGGGGCTTCAGTTACAGAATCAGATTATGCGATAATCCACCGTGAGTAAAAAATCATATTTTGGTAAATAGAAACATATTTTGGTAAAATAATTTTCTTCACCCTGTTATTTTTAAAACTGATACATCTCTTTTCAACTTATATTCATCCATTTGTTCAAATTTATTTTTTTATTCCGTGGCGTAACGGTTAAGCGCACTGTCTCGTGTGGACATGATCGTCAATTTGAACTCTAATCCAGGACAACATGATATCAAGTAGTTGTAATATCAATTTTTACTTAAAAATAAATGTAAAACCTCTCACACTATTCTTCCCTGAAATCTGCCCAAAGACTGTACTACATATTATGATTTTTAACTTCCCGTAGGGTAGTTATAGTAATGGGACAAAAATCTTAAATGAACATTTTCGCATTTCTCGACGTTTTAAAGGTTTCTGAACATTTTACTGGCATACCTCAGAAACTAAATGGATGTATGTGTGTGTGTGTTTTGTATGTCTGCATTTTTTCGTCTACGTTTTCGTGCGCACGGATCAACCGATTTGTATGGTTTAAAAACATTTGATCGCTATTAATAGGGAGATGTGCTGATCAGTTTTTGGCAAAGGCAGGTTCATCCGTTACGGAGATACGGAGCAAAGAATGCAAAAAATACAAATCTAGTTTTTGAGAGAACGAATTGTCGGATTTAAATGATCTAAAAAACATTTAATTTGTAATGATTGGGAGAAGAGGTGATTGATTTTTGGCAAAGGCAGATCCAGCGGCTTCGGAGATACAGAGCTAAATGTGCAGAAAATGGCAGTTTTTGAGTGAACTGAGCGTCCGATTTGAAGGATCTAAAAAACTTTCCGCTGGTATTGACAAAACAATTGCTTTTGAGGATAAAAAATTATTACACTTTTTTTTATTTTCCATAACATATTTTTGTAATTTTTGATTAAAAATTTAAAAAATTACCCAGGCTAAGCATAGTCTAAGCGCCACTCTGGTACAAACGTTTACCCAAGTGCGTTTAGATTTCTTTTCCAATTCTGTGAAAAATATTGAAACATGTGAAAATGCCGCCAAGCTAAGCACAGTATAGGTGAAAATGTCGCACAGAATTATTTGCAAATGTGTTTAGACTGTGACTATACGGGAGCCCTTTTTCAATTTTGTGTAAGGCAACTATTTTTCTGAAATTGAATTCTAAATGAAAAGACGATTGTTAATGTTCTGGAGATTAAACTGAATTGATTTATGATTTACATTTGATTTGCTCAGATAAAATAAGATAGCAAAAATAATGAAAGTTGTAATAATATATTTGAAAACATATGAAATTTCTAGAATATTTCATTACGGTACGGAAAGTTCCAGCAATTTGCCTTAAGGCACGATGCCATACACCACTAGATATTGTTTTATTTGTAATTCTAGTCCCTCAAATGGTGGTAGGAATTGCATAGGCGAAGGTCAGGAATTCCAGAAATGTTACTTGGATCAGTGTCCAGAAATCGTAAATGCTAAAAATTCTAAGGACAAAAGACTCGAACAATGTTCTAATGTGCAAAAACAGCAAGGAGAAAATACGACTGCCCGGTGGCTTCCTTTTGAACCAGAGGAAGGTAATAATATTATCAGTAAACCATTGGGTTGCAATTAGAAAAATAAAAGTATTTTTTACTTGTTATCGGTTTCGTGTAATTTTTTAGATCATCTAAAGTGTTTACTGTTTTGCATAAACGATCAAACTGGTGAGGTTTACAATTTGGAAATAAGTGTTCTGGATGGTACTCCTTGCTCGTACTCTGAAGAAGATGATTTGTGTATTCAGGTAACGACTGTTTTATTTGTATAAGGTGGTCCTTAACATGGATTTAAATTTTTCTTATCTTTATATTAAATTGGTATTTTTTCAAGGGAAGGTGTCGCACGTTTGGATGCGATGGAATTGCAAATTCTGGAAGAAAAAGAGACATTTGCGGAGTTTGCGATGGAGATGGTTCTACATGCCATAATGTTACTAAAAGATATTCCAGAGCAATGAGAAACGGTAAGTTATAAATTTATTACGTAACTAGTGGTGTATGGCAAGAAATATTCGAGAAATTTTAAATGTTTTTAAATATATTATTACAAATACTGTAACTTTCATTATTTTTGCTATCTTGTTATATCTGATTGTGAGCAAATCAAATGTCATCAATCATAAATCAATTTATCTCCAGAACATTAACAATCGCCATTTCATTTCGAATTCAATTTCAGAAAAAAATAGTTGCCCAATTTACACAAAATTGAAAAAGTGCTCCCGCATAGTCACAGTCTAAACGCATTTGCAAATAATTCTGTGCGACTTTTTCACTTATACTGTGCTTAGCTTGGCGGCATTTTCACATTTTTCAATAGTTTTCTCACAAAATTGGAAAAGTACATGAACAGTCTAAACGCACTTGGGTAAACATTTGTACCAGAGTGGCGCTTAGCCTGGGTAATTTTTTGGATTTTTAATCTAAAATTACAAAAATATTTTATGGAAAATAAAAACAGATGTAATAATTTATTATCCTCAAAAGCAATTGTTTTGTCAATACGAGCAGAAAGTTTTTTAGATCATTCAAATCGGACGCTTAGTTCACTCAAAAACTGCAATTTTTTGCACATCTATCTCCGTATCTTCGAAATGGCGGGACCTGTCTTTGCCAAAAACTAATCACCTCTTCTCCCTCCTCAGTCATTACAAATTAATGTTTTTTAGACCGATACTCCGTTCTCTCTCAAAACTCAATTTGTATTTTCTGCACTCTTTGCCCCAAATCTCCGTAACGCTGGACCTGCCTTTGCTAAAAACTAATCAGCACATCTTTCTATCAATCGGGATCGAATGCTTTTTAGACCATTCAAATCGGTTGATCCGTGCGCCCGAAAACGTGTACAAAATATGCGGACATACAAAACTCACACACACACACATCGATTTCTTCTGAGGTATGCCAAAATGTTCAGAAACCTTCAAAACGTCGAGAAATTAAAAAATTTTCATTTTCGATTTTTGGCTCATTACTATAACTACCCTACGGAAAGTTAATAACATGATTATATAATTGTTCTTTTATTGCAGAAAATACTCGAATTATAATTCTCCCAAAATACGTCCGAAATCTGGACTTGGAACTCACTTGTCTGGACGGTTGCGACTACATAAACCTACCAGTTTTCCTAAAATACCAGGACCGCAACAAAAAATCCTTCTACGCCACCAGGATCCAAACAAGATCTGGCACCAGAATTGAAAAAACCAGCCTGATTGCTGAAGGATCCAGATTTAGAAGTGAAAGATTCGAAAATGGACATGATTTGACTGTTACGAGTTCTGGACGGTTGTATTCGGAAGTTGTGTTGAGTGTAAGTAAGGGTGGGGAAATCAGTAAATTTTGTTTGGTCTACAAAATATTTGTTTTGTCCTAGATTGGTGTCAAGGTGAAACCGATTAAGGAAGTTTTGTACTCGGTTTGGTATTCTTACAACATGGACAGTGTCGATCGACAACTGATTTTGAGATACAGGTAATAATTTATTGTTTTTATCAAAAAAAAATCCCGGTCCTGGTTTTTCATTTGCTCGCCAAGTCATTAACCTTCTGCATTATTTTTCTATCAAATCCTTCCAAATTTTTTCTTTCGACCTAGTTTCCTTTTCTTTTGTTTATTAGACTCTTCTTCAGTTTTTGTCGGTTTCCTCATAGTCCATGTCTCTGATCCCTAAAGAGTTATACTCTAGTTAAATATATTTTAATATTTTGTTTTTTTTTGCAGATGGGTTTTGAAATCCTGGTCAAAATGTTCTGCAACTTGCGGTGGTGGAATTTCTTATAGACCAGCAGTTTGTAGGGACATTGTTTTGGGAATAAGAGTTGAAAATGATAATTGTCCTTTGAATGCAAGGCCTAGGATCAGAAAAAAATCTTGCAACACATTCAGGTAAAATTAATTGATTATCTTTACGTTTTAAGACTTTCTGAACGTTTCTTCTTCACAAAACATTGATTTGTGTGTGTGTGGTTGCTAGTGTGTATGTGCGGATACAATTCTTTGTCCCCGTTTTTACGAGCACCGATTTGAATGATTCAAAAACTATTTTGCTTGTATCGATAGTGTGAGGAAATGATTAGTTTACGAGGAAGATAAAAAAAAAGATTTTTGGTTTCAAAATTTGAAAAAATTCTTACGAAAATCCATATTTTTTCAAAAATGATTTTAAATCTAATTCTAATATTTTAAATCTAATTCTGATATTATATTTCTCGCTTTTAAATATGCAATATATAGATTTTTTTAACAAGTCAAGATTTGAGTCATCAAACATTTCAGTCAGTTTTTTGTATGTTATTAAAAATTATTTTTTTTAGCTGTGATTTTCACTGGATTCCTGGTTCATGGGAACACTGTACAAAAACTTGTGGGCCTTTTGGTGTACAAAATCGAGAACTATTTTGTGTTAAAATTAACAATGAGAGGTACAAGTTTAAAATAAATATATGCACTTTAAATATATAATTATATTTGGAATATTTCTTTAGTAATGAAATTTCATCCTTGACCAAAATTGTGCCACCAAATTTATGCCCGGAGCCAACTTTGGAAAAAACTCGATCTTGTAATACTCAACCTTGCGAAAGGAATTGGGTTTTTGGAGATTGGTCGCAGGTAACAAATTTTTAAAAAAATATGAGATAAGGTCCTTTGATTCTGACTCAGCTTGATTAGGTTTTGTTTATGTACTTTTTATGTAAACATATATGAACGTCATCAACCAATTTGATTTTGTCAATAGTGTTCTGCAACTTGTGGTCACGGAATGGCAACCATGAATTTAATTTGTAATAAAACATATGACAACGATTTTTGTCCTGATCAGAAGGCTCCGATACGACCCTGTGTTGGCCCTGAATTGTGTCCGGTGCCCAAATTACAACCCTGCACTGGTAATAAAAAAATTATGTATATATATATATATATACATAACAATTCATTTGTTCATTTATTATAAGATATATTTTTTTAGGTGATTTCAAAATATTGTCAACTAAATTTATTAAAAAGATATTGTCTGATACCATCTTACAGAGATGTTTGCTGCCACAGTTGTAGAGACTTTCCTTTAGTTAATATACCTGATTAAAATTACTTAAAGTTAAATTAAAATTAAATAATTATTACTCATAAAGTAGTACTAATAGGTTAAACTTAAATCGAATAAATTATAAAACATATTACTTATTAAAAATGAATAAAATTGATGACAAAAAAATACGATATCTATCTAGGCCAGATTTAAGACCCGGAAAAGGGTAAATGAAAGTATTTTTTAAAAAAATGAAAACTATAAAAAATTCTTTAGGAAATTTTACAAAATAAATTCAAATTATTTTGTGAATACTTTAATTCATTTTTGATAATGTAATTAAACAAATTTGAAGGATAGCTATTATTATTGTGAACTAAAGGAATTAAAGTCAAGTTTTTACAGATTATAAAATGTTTTGTTAGTTTTTATTTCTAGGGAAGACTGTGTGTAAAATATGTGCACTTAATGAAAAATTAGTTTGTTTTAAAGAATTTAAGAATATTTCTAGGAACAGGTGAGTAGTATTTTTTAATTTTTTTATCTCAGGTCGACTTATCACGTTTAATATCCGCAAATTTTCCTATCAAATGAATCATGATGTTACGTCTTGTAATTTTTAGTAAAACTTTTCCTTAAAAATCAATCACATATTCTCACACTTTGTTTACAATGGAAGAAAATGCAGTACGTGATTTTGTATTTACTTTTCGAATGCATATATACTTGCATTTTGCGGAAAATGAATCAGAAGTAGTTAGAAATTAGAACAAATTTATATCAAGATGAAGTTTTGTATTTTAACTTTTTTGTTGTGTGTTAGTTTGGGAGTTGTAAAGTCTAAAGGTAAGTTTACTTTTCTAGAATTTTTGGCAATACGAAAACATTTGTTGATTTGTTGAATGAAAATTGTACATATTTTTTTCATAAATTGAATTCTTTATTAATTTTGTGTCTTCTCGATCTTACTAGTCAAGTTTAAAGTTTCCAAATCGTTTCTGAATTAAAATAAGTTTGTGTGTGCATATGAGTCAATTTTTTACTTTTCTTCAACGTTTTTTTTAAAAGGACTGCACCGATTTAGTAGCAAAAAATATACAAAAAGTACTTCTGTTACAAACTAATATAGATGCATTTATTTTTCAAATTTATCATTTATTTTATTTATTTTTCAGCTCCTCCAATTAAACAATGTGGGCTTCACGAA